TATGTAATAAAATTGATTAAAACATATATTTTTCTATTATTTTATTTTAAGATTAAATAAACATGCATATGATTCAATTGGATGTTACTGCTAGGTCAAATTAATCTCTACAGATCAATGGTAACGTCTCTGACTGTGAAGCTGGGTGATACGGAATCGAATCCGTCAGGGAGCATCAGTTCTCTCAAGATTACGAGATTTATAATATTATACTGATTATTATCTCAAGTGAAGTACATAATATTTTATTTATTTGTGAACATAAATATGCGCCACACAAGTCACTTGATTTGTGTGTGGGCTGTAATACTGCCCGGGTGCCCAAACCAAAGCAGGTGGTTTTCTTAGGGGACTACATCCGGAGCATTTGACCTAAAGGTCTGATCCAAAACACAGTCGAGCAATGTCAGGAGCGGCAGTCCCATGGTAGAGGATAACCAATAAGTGATTCATCCGCCATTTGTTCCCTCAGGATCCTGGAGTTCATGTGCACTATTGGTTCGTATTTTAGATCGTGACTACGATATTGGTTGACAGTTGTTTTGAATTGTATAGGTTCTTCAACTGTGGGGATGCTGCCCTAACCTTGACAATCCGTGCCTTCATATCTGCATCACATCCTCCGTGTTCATCGATGATGCTGTCAAAGTATGTGAAAGATTCCCTTGTAAAGTATGTTCGATAGTGTGATGCCTCAATATTTCTCACATTTTCTCAGATCTCGTTTCTTAGGTACGTCGCTGAGGTGTCCTTCTTTCCAGTCTTCCTGTTGCAATTGTTCTTCCTCCCACATTTTCCTGTATAGAAGGTTTAACATTTTTGAGTTACCTTTGTGTCTGACATGAGTGTGTTTGCCTATACATTGTCAGGTCCTACTAAATTCCCATTCTTCATTTGTCTGATAGCCATCCTGATTTCTTCGATCGTTGGTGGAGTGACATGTATAGGAATGTCTGTAGGTGCTGCTTCGATGTCCGGTGGATTCAACGGGGCTAGTCTATTCAAGAGTTCCTCGAAGTATTCCACCCATCTGTCCCTCGGTTCATGAATCTCAGTTATTGTCTTACCATCTTTGATCTTGACCAGTCTCTCTGCTTTAATATATCTTCCTCCAAGTTTCATCGTGTCATATAGCTGTCTCATATTTCCCTCTCTTGAAGCTTCTTCTGTAGCTGCTAGATCTTCTACGTATTTCTGCTTGTCGGCTCTAATGCCCTTTCTTCACTTACTTGTTTGCTTCTTTGTATTCGGCATGATCTTCGACTTTCTCTGTTCTTGTTTGAATGTTGTTATCTGCTGTCATCTTTTCTTCAATCTTGTCCAGGGTTTGCATAGAGATCCATTCCTTATGAAAATGCTTATTGCATCCCAGCACCTCTTGACACGTTGAATTTAGTTCTTCTTTGATCCCTTTTCAGTTGTCTTGCATATTAGTTTCATCTTCTTTGAATAGATCTTGTAGTGCTCAAAACCTGTTGTTGAGTTATTTTGAATTGGTTGAGTTTGTCAGGGAAGGCTTTATTAAACCATTGTCTAGTTATTCATTGCATATTTTGCTTCAGTTTCATCTTGGTCACAACCAGGTGGTGATCTAAATCTACAGCAGATCCTCTCCGGGTTCTATCAGGGGTTAATAATTTGATCAGAATAGTTTTCCAAAGAATTGTAATCAAACTTCAGTATGCCAACTTTCTACTTTTTTTATAATGTGACTTTAAAACACTAGTTTCCTCATAAATCAAATTAATGATGAAATAAACAAAGAATGTATAGTTAATGTTGAAATGACTCAGATGTGATATACTAAAACCTAGAAAACTGAAATAACTAAAAAAATTAAACAATTTTAAATCTCATTATGAATAACAAATATTTTCTGATGTTACATAAACGACTAAAACTCTTTTGTTTTATCTAATCTAAGAAATTATAATCACACGTTTCTTTTTCAAAAAGAACCTTCACCATTAAGAAAAAATGAGAAAATATCTAATACTACCATAGATTTAGCCCGTCCTGTTTCTTGGAGTAAATCCAATTTATTTTCACTTTTTGTTGCTGTTAGATAGGGTAGGATATTCGGAAAAGGTGATACATTTATGGTTTGTGTTACTCATACGGGTATATATATATATATATATATATATATATATATATATATATATATCGGAGATTGGAAGTAGGATTCTTATTGAAAGAGGAAAATGACGAGTAGCAGAAGTGGTCCGGTTAGCATCAAGAATGGAAGAACGATGGATTTTGTAGAACACATAATTCAAATGGTTTATCCAATGTATTGTTTTCATATTTTACGAATGCAGTGTGCGAATCAGCATGATACAACTGATTAGTTAACCCTTATTCAAGTCTTCGTTCATTACATTTTTAAATCTATTTTAATTGTATAACTGCGAAATATTGGACTGATAATATTTTTATGTTATCCTAATTTACAAGATTTCATTGGGCTTACTACCCAGTGATATCGGTTTCATCGTTCTTAATATATTAATTAATTATGCACCTATTGCACAAATTATTTCCCATTGGTGATGGAGTAGGACCATATAATTACTGTATCAGTTTTCGAGTTATAATAATATAATGTATGTCGAATTGCTGTCTTCGTCCCCTGAGTGGTTATTTGAAATAAAATAAACTGAGTGTGGTAATTGAAATCAGTGGTAGTCCATTTGTATTATTGATTACAAAGAAGGTCAATAATATGAGTGATATAAGTGAACCAGTAATCGGTGAATTGTATAATCTTATAATAAGATTAAGTGGTTTGTAAGAAGTTGAAGATGATAACAGTTACAAGTATTATATTATTCATTAAAATGATTAATTTAAATGCCTTTTTAATTAATTCAAACACTTAATGATTCTTATCAGAAAGGGTTTTATGGAGATTGTAATAATTTCAGTAGTTGAGATCGTGAGTCGATTAAAGCTGGACCACCATGGAAAACCTGGAAGCACTGTCAATCTAATCGATTGAGGTTTCACAAGTCAACTAAATCACTTACACTATGTGTGGAAAAACCAGTTATATGAAAGCAATCAAAATAACACTAACCTCCAGAAACTAAGTCGACCAACGACCCAACCCAGTGTACTAATATAAGACCATAAAGCAGTGAATCCTATTCAGTTGATGACAGTAAACTGTGTTTTGCCGTATGAGGGTATCTCTAACCAAACAACGCTCATTCGTGATTGTCGAATATGAAAACCCATTAACACTTAAATATACGTCACTTACAAGTGTAATTGTTTATCCACTTCAAATTAATAGACTTGCACTAAAGTTGTTTATATTTGAATAGGATGTCAAGCCGTCGTCAGTCTATCAGTTACAATTGAAACTGCTCTGTAGCAGATTAAACTGAAGATTATTTCTCTAGAAGGATTGGAAATGTGCAACTGCTGTCAGTCGCTAACAGAGACGTGACAAACTGAGTGCCACTGAAACGCTGAGTCCTGAAATGTAGCGCCTCCTACATTTTCTTGGTGTAAAGACCTCTTTATTATGGATTGTTATATGGATGTCGTGATAGATAAACTGAACGACCAAGAAAACTAAACTGTTTGCTTTTCCGATTCTCCAATCGGTAAATTTCCCGATATCAAGAATATAGTACGATCCGCTTTCAGTCAGGTAAGTAATGTGAAGAATTTGCTCAAAAATATCAAAAAGCACTTCACTTGCGAAAGTTATTGTCAGGTCAGATTATACTATTAATATAGTGACCATGGAACAAAAGGTCATAGTAACAAAGATAGTACGGAAGTAAGCCATTCGAAGTGATGAGAATCAGAATAAAGCTCGGTTGTTTAGATGGTGGTTGAAGGTAGTCAACAGGAAACCCTGGACCCGGGTTTCGTGCTACTTGGCACTCGTCAGCAAGGTGCACCTGTAATCTTGAGGGTCACCTAGACTGGTGGCAACATGATCGATAGCATTCGATCTGCACTAATAAGGACTAGACAATCATGACATTGATCACCACCCAGTGATCAATCAATTGTGAAAGCTCAGTTGTATACGGTAATACTCACCAAAACAATTTCAATAACCTCGTTGGACGTCTTACAATATTCCACAGACACCTAAATCACTATTTCTACGGTTATTTTTTACAAACGCTACAAATACTGAAATTATTACCCTAACCAGACAACGGGATTAACTATACCGAAACACTGAAAACCATCTAGCTATCTATTCGATACCGTTACTTAGCAATTTCATACAGAATTAATATTCTAATTCAAAATTGATGACACGTATAATAACCAACTGCTCGTACACGAAACTAACCAACTGAGAAGTATCTTCGAATTCATATATCACGCGTGAAATAATGGTAACATCTGAAACTTAGTCCATTAGAAAATCCAGTCAATTCTAATTTAAAATTTGAGGTAATTTATAGATACTAGTACGAGCACTCAATTAAGAGTTCAATCTTGTAGTTAGTACACAGAAAGTAACTGCATAAAAGTAATTATATATAGTCTGCTAAAGTGAATTCACATAAAGAACAAGAACTTCATTGTAGCAATTGTCATTGGTTGCAGTTCGTATGGTGAAATGGACTGAATTTAAGTGCGGAAATGTGACATTCTAATAAGCAATTTCTTAAACAAACGAATCTTAGAAACCACTTGCTGTTCACAATTACTATAAAAACAAAAGCTGTATGTCTTTATCGGAATCTGCTAGGTATCGTTTAATCAAAGGACCTAACTATCAGAAAATCCGATGCCATATTTCCTTGCATCCCGGCGTTATTACTTCAAACTAACACTACAGTCGCTACTAGTCCTGACTAGACAAGAACCGAGCATACCTCATTTTGTTTTCTTCAAGTTAATTGTAATACGAGAATCTTGATTTCTACAAAATTCCTTTCATCGTTTACGTAGGACAACTGGCCTTAAGTTGCTTGGAATTACGCCGCAAATTCGGAATCAAAAATTAACTAAGCCGGAGTAGAGCATATAACAATTATTGGGTTATATGACCATAATTACATAGTTCAAATACAATATTTCACAAACCATCCAGTTAGTGAGACAACAAAGACACTAATTGCAGAGACCTGAAATGCATCATGAAAGCATATTTCAAGAAATTTCCTACAATGGCAAATTTAGATGGCTTAATAAGGCGCTGGACGCGCCCGACCTGTTCCAACACTACTTCCACGCATGGGACCACCACCTCGACCTCCTCGATTGGCGCTTGAAGTAGGATTCATTGCTCCGCCTCGTCCAAATCCAGGATTGCTCTGTTGAGAACTGGAATTCATAACTGCAGCAGGTGGTTGAGCACTTCGACTAGTTGCATTCAAGTTATTTCTAGAATTCGTATCAGGATTACTAGATCCATCGCCTGAACGAGTTGACTGAAAATTAAATGCAACGATTATAATGATTAAAAATGGTGATCAGATGAGTTGTCGATAAACAAAATGAGATAGCAAGAATCTTTAACGATGTAGTTGGCAAAAATCTCTAAAATGATAATGAAACGTAGAAAAATGACCTACATAACCATCCCAGTGATAAAGTTTATAGCATAAGTAAATGCTTTCAAGTTGTAACTTACCCAAGGAATTACATCAGTATTTACAAATGAGGTTAGTTGTAAGGCTGAATATATAGTTTATGAATCAAATCTGGAAACATCGATGACAAGATTTCTTACTTCCAACAGTAAAATTAGTGCACAAATCAATTAAACACAGCTCAAGACCATAACAAGCAAGGTGGATATCTGTTATCATCTGCGATGATGATATAGTCCTCAAACCATGTAATTTATTCACAAGTCGGCAACCTACTTATGCAAGACTGAGACTTAAGACGTCAACGAAAAAGAGGTTCACTTACTGAAAAGGTAGTTTAAACTCGTATTACCACAACGACAGTTTTAACGGAGTTAGTGTTATTATAAGACAGCTACGATTCGTAGATAATGCTTCAAACTCTATAAACGTTTTGTTTGACATAAGGGTATCAAAGTTGTCGTGATTAGTTTCACTGCTGCTTTTGCGTACCAACACGTTCAACGAAAGAAATAAGTCTATGTACCTCTTATCTTTCCTATCAAGTCGTTAGTAGCGCTTAATTTTCCGTATCTGTACATATACTGAACTACATTTTTAAACGTAATACCACTGAAATAAGAGAAAATATTTAAGGACAACAAAATAATAACCAAGACAGCAACGTTTATTTCACACAGAACCTCAAGTATGAATTGAAATACTTTAGAATGAAGTGTCCTCACGCATTAAAACTACATACTGTTTAAGTACAAAATTATGAAAAACCCACCTGGCACCTATTACATTGTTCTCGCCATGAAAAGTTGATATTACCACACTGTGGACAGCTCCAGTCGCCTTCCCTTGAACCTGCTTGAGCCGAACCGACGCTAGGTCGTACAGAAGAACCATTGGTAATTGCTCCACGGGCACCTCGAGAGGCTGTGCTTGCTCCGCGACCCATACCTGGATACTCCTTGGAATCAAAGTGGGCAGCCAGCTGAGGGTTGTTCGCTGTAAGAGCAGCAAGGCTGGCGGCAGCAGCCGCACTGTTATTCATCAAACTGGCAACAGTGTTCCCACTGGCAGCCGCAGCCACAGCTGCAACAGCCAGAGCAGCAGCAGGATTGTTTGGTCCATTTCCATTTCCTCCCAGCAAACCACCTCCCCCAGGAGGGATAATAACTGGTCTTTGACTGTTAATAGCTTGTTTGACTTCAATCTTTCTTCCCAAAAATTCATGCTCTAGTAGAAACACAAAACAAAAAACAATCAGTAACGACGAGTGAAAAATATCAGGAAATGTTGAAGTAAACCATGTTAGGAAAATACCTTTAAACCACTGAATAGCCGATTGGACACAACTTGGATCTTCATAAGTTACAAGCGCTTCGCCTTTAGGTATACCTTTTTCTTTAAATATCCATATCATGGGCATACCGCTTTTGGAATTGATCTATATCGTAAATTACCATTACTGTAAATAGATACCTTGATTTTCCCGACGACACCAAATTGAGACTTCATCACATCGTGATCAATATTTTGAGGCAGATTACTGACAAAAATTGTATCCTCCCGGAGTCCATCAGCTGAACAATCGGTTTTACTTTATGAATGAATAACTTACGATTAGTGACACTGGGCAAGTTGGAACCCGATCGAGAACCTAAAAAAGTAGGACGAGAAATATGACTCATATAAAAGCTGCTGAGTTTTCAGCTAACAAATTTGGAAAATTCACTGGAAATCACTTACCGCCAAACTTGTTATATCCACCTCTTTGGCTGAAAAACACTAATCTTCGTTAAATTCAAAATAGTGAAAACACAAAAACACCAGAAGACAACTTGCTTCTGTAAAAAAAATATTAAAGTGGGGGAGCCAAAAATACCAAGACTCACACATATACCATAAAACCATTGACTGGTAATTACCAACAAAGTTACCCAAAACACTGACGAAAAACACAGCTCCCACTCAAATTGAACCAAATACGCGACTGATTGGGAGACACTCAAAAATTTCGATCAAAACTCAAAACACCGTTCGATATTCAGATGTACCAAAGATTTTGGATTTAACATACCTGCTGCCTCTTCCAGAGCCCAATCCACCGCGAGTGTTCGTGCCAGTTGGGTCTTGGAGGAAAGCGACTGGATTAAAACCTGAAATTCAGAAATCCCACATTGTCAAGAAAATCTAACCTGCAAGTCCTTGTTCGTGAGCTATGGCCTCTAAAATCGCTCCATTAGCAGACATCGTTTGCCCAAAAGCATTAGCCATGAGTGGCCCAAACTGTTGCATATCTTTAAAAATAAGAAAAGGTTATAGTGCAGTACCGGTACTGAAGCCTGCTTGGACAGCTGACAATCCAGGGGGCATACCTTGCCCCATTCCAGGATACTGATTGAATGAACCAGAGAAATTAGGGTAAGCAAAGCCTCCGGCAGCTGAAAATTATAAACAACAAGTTATCAAACAAACCGGGTTGCATAGGGACTTGTGAACCGTCTACCTGACATACGGGAATCGAAGAGGTTTGGTTGTAAGCAGAACCTGTTTGGTCAAAATTATATGAAGCCGCTGACTGAGCCCCAAACATAGAGCCTGGAACTCCAGCAGCTGGATTTCCTTGTTGAGAAAGCGCATAACCTTGAAGCAACTGAGCGTTTTGATCACTTGCTGTTGGATAGTGGAATGGAGGGTAGCCAGCTTGACTAGCCTGTTGCATGTTAGCATATGCGAACTCTAAAACCAAGAAAAGGACATATAAACTTGTATTTTGTTCAACAAATAAAAGTTAAAATTCATTTCGGCAAACCAAGTCTTAGGTTACTTGCCGGTTAATAACGCAAGACATAAAGAACAAAAAGCACATGCAACTGTATTTAGATAAATGGTAAGTCAATCAATTCACTTTGAAGATTTAGCTTTATTTAACGTTTCCCAGGCCAACTGACTTGACTCATCTAAAGGGGAGTTTGAAATAATTCTTATTTATTACAACAATCAGTAAGATGTTCCATTTAGGCAACCAACATCTGCAGCGGTGCTGCATTTTCAGAAAGTTAAGTTAGGGCCAAGGAGGATTGACCCTAAATATTTCATCCTTCACTACTTCAGGGATTGCCGTCTTTGGTGGTTGGGCTTTCCGGAGTACGAAGTCAACACTAAAAACTCACAAAAGGTCGTGTGATTGGCCTTGTCAAACGCTCCTCGATTGGTACAAGTACTACTCACCTTATTCAGGTAATTCAAAAAGAAATACTTTCCCACACAACAAGCAACCGTAAATTATAAGCCGCCCTTGTTCTTCGTACAGCACTAGAGATGGAAATACATTTTGGAAAAAGCTTCTCATGTTAGCACACCTCAAGCGAAAAACCACAGGTGCAACCGTGAATGCATGAAATAAGACCGGTCGAACTGAAGTAGGAACCATAATTAGAAATGTATTACATACTGAGACAAGTAAAGTGACAAGAGGATTAGATATTAAAGCTGTGACTCAAGTAGTTAACCTCGAACCCGATGTCTGCTAGCCTAAGCTCACATGCCAAAACAAAAAGAATCTAACGAGTAGAGATAGTGATGTCAACGGTCATGGAGAACCAAGAAAATTTCCAGAGAGCGTGAACGAAATATGGGAACATTAACTCTACGTCGACTGATCGCTAGTCGTAGCTCGAAGGACATCAAAACTGATATCATTTACTCAGTTCGTCACTCAATAAAATACTAACTCCAGAATAACCTCAGCACTACATGCATTTTTGAAGGAATCCGACACTTGATCTCTGCTACAGATAAATGTACAGTCGTCGGTTAGGACTGTAGTGCGCGAGATTGCTCCAAGCGATCAGAAAAGTCGATTGACTTTGCTTAAAACCGGTCAGTGGTGCAGATGTATTTCCTCTTCATTTTCCACCGACCTCTAGGCTTTATCATTACACTACACTTGCTAATCCTCAAACTCATTTCTTGTTTTTGAACCATCCATAATTCTTTAAAGCCAACTACACGATAAACATATGGAGACGGCAATATATTGCTTGAGTAAGAAAGTAAATAACGTGTATGCTATGCCATTAGGCATTTGTTGTACTTGAATCTGTCTGACCTGTTGCGTTATTGGTTGGATGGTGCGATTAAGACACACCACCGTACAGTAAGACTGAATCAGTTGAGAAATTCAGCTTCTTTTAAGGTAAAAGAACTAACACATCACAGGCTTCTGGCAATTACTTTTCGTACAACTTCGGGAGCGCGACCAAAATTAAATGTTTTCGAACAGGGCGAAAACTCACTCCGATGTACCCGGACACTTAGCATTAAATAGGCTGTTGTAGTTGTTCATACCTGGTGTTGATCTTGAAACTAGGGCGATAGGAATAAGTGAAATGAGCCATTACGCTTTCGAGCTTCTCGAGTGATACTTTCAGGTCAGCATGCCTAACCGTGCTTGAACTACACAACTTATGGCAAACTACGTAATTTACAGTCGCGGGTTTGTTATACAGAAGCCCAGTCAGATTATCTTAGCCATTTGATAGCAATTTAGTCTACGAATGACTGAAAATAAACGGGAATTGCCGTTAAGGAAATTGCCAGTTCCACACGACCTCTTAAATGGCCAGCAACTGGTAAAATGCTTGAAACAGAAAAGTCCAGGACTTATAAAATGAAAGACAGTCCCCAAACTAGTTAGCTTCTATCCAAGTTGACTACAAACTAAAACGTAAAATGAAAAGAACAGGTAACTTTTCTACTCACGATCAGCCATCTCTGATTAGCGCGTAACAACTGTCTTTCACTCATTAAAACACTTACAGTTATCAAGTAAAACTCCCTTCACTAGAAATACCAAAGTATAATATACCAGGAAGAAAATCTATCTTAGTTCTCCATCATAAGCAAATTACCAACGAAACATTCAACTTCACTTGGTCAAGGTAATGGATTTCGCATTTACTTAGTTATGGTGTCTGATGATACAAATTCAGATTTTCAGATCTGTGTAGTGAAGACAGAACACCTACAGCCCATGTTGTTCCTTTTCTAGTATGCTTCTGTACGTGTCTAGTCTTCTCTTGAATGAGTCAATTGAAGGCACGCACAGAACTTCTTCAGGTAGCAGGATCCTAGAATTTATGACTCTGTGGGGAAACCTGTATGCTACGGGTAACTTGTTCGTTCTTGATTTTTCTGCTCGCCTTCTGTTACCTCTGAGTTTTCCAAATCTGTAGAAGGAAAAACAGAAGATTTATCAGGTCCAAAATCATTTCTTCGTACTATATACATCAAGATCAGATCACCTCATAATCTGCGGTGGGACAGAGTAAAGAGGTCTAGCTTATCAAAACGCTCTTCGTCTGGTAAACCTCGGAGTTTTGGAATCTCTCGCGTAACTGCCCTCTGTACATTTTTCAAGATACCCGAGTCACCTTTCAAACAGGGCTTGCAGTCTGAAGAGTTTTTAAATTTAGTTCTCAACAAGGTTGTGAATACTGTAGTGAACACAGCAGTATCTAAGTCCGTAAGTCTTTTTTGAAGCTCAAAGTGTTCTAAACCTCTCAGCTACAACCTCGTGGCAGATAGCCATGGTCGTAAATTCATGACCCAACGTCACCCCGAGATTCTTATGAGACCGGACTACGAGTGCTGGCATTTCCCCTACGCTATACCTATTTACATTCGTATCCTCAAAGTGCATGTAAGCGCACTTTGCTGCGCTGATAGACACCAGCAATTTTTTAGATCAGCTAATCATAAAGTGGGCATGAGTCTGTGTCTCCTGATATTTCCCACCAGATTTTTACATCATCAGCGTAACGTAACATTGAAGAACCAAAGACAGGACCTCGCGCTACTCCACTAAGTACTAGTCCCCAGAAGAAGCACATAGAATTGATTCTTACTTTCTGTCTATAACCTATCAGGAAATCGTCAAGCAATTTTAGAGCAAGTCTGCTGGGTTGACTGAATTATGAAGAACTCCATATCTCAAGTGAAACACGGAATACAAATAGATGATTTGAACTTTGAGGATGACCTGGTTCTTCTATTTCATACTCGCGAACAAATATAAGTGAAGACAACAAGTGTAATGGCAGCATCTGTAGCAGTAGGTCTCATCACACACAAGCGAAAAAGTGACATCTTCAAGTACAATATGGAGAATACCAACACAATCACACTTGATGGAGAAACTGTGGAAAAAGTGGAATCATTCACGAGATCCACTGCGGCAGACAATTTTTGACTTTAAGTTCGGGTCTAGTTCTTCGTCCAGAAGAGGCTCCTGAGTGAAAATTTTCCTGAGATAGTACGCCATAGCCTCTGATTTCTCCTGATTATCCTCTATCATTTCAGATCTACTCCTGTAATTAGACTGAGAATCCAATGCTGTGTCCTTGTTCTGTAATTTCTGTACGAGAATATTCTCTTGGGCTGCTTGGCTACAGATTGTTAGTTATGTCCATAACTAACCAATCAAATCGTTGTTTAAGAGCCCATCACGTCAATCTGCTCTGATGTGTCTGTAGACATCCCTGTTGCATATTACCTGTCAATCGAAGGACATTATTATTGTATTATATTAGCGTGACTCATAATTTTTATTTACTTCGTCGACATGCAATAATGGTAGGTATGTTTGTGTGTTCCAACTAATATGTATAATTCATTTGATTATTGTACTGATCGAATTGTTTTAACGTTTAAAAAAGGATAAAATTTAGAGCCAAGTTGTCCTTGTTCCGACTATAGTTTTCACGTAGACTATGGGATCTTCAGTATCGCGTTTACGGTTCTAGCAGTATATCTGCAGGACAAACTAAATCCTACACAGATTGAGCTAACTGAATTTCATATTTTCACTGAGCTTCCTGGATTTTAATTATAAACTTATTTTGTACCGACCTGTAACGTTCCACCGCATTTGCTACGCCAAGGCTAAAGGCTATGTTCCAATATTTCTTTTTTGTCTTAGTAAACGTCAAATATCCCGATCTATCCAGTGATAGACGATCTTCTTCTTAGGGACTGTCCATTGCATTCCGCGACAAGCGTACTCAGAAAATGAGATGGTGGAGAAAATAGAATGAAGTAGAATAAAGTGTCAGATTCCTCTGATAAATTACATGGAAGACAAAAGTCAACTTCTAAATAACTTCACGAATATTCTTGATTTGAACCTTTTAACAGTATATATATCCTATACTACTATGGTTAAGCTACTAATTAAGGTATTCCACACCCATTATTTCTACCCACAGTGTATGTCCAGACTCTGCAAATACTCTTGAACTTCCCTTCAAACCCCAAACTTGATTGACTGAATTAACGAATTATTTGTTCCGTCGAATCTAATAGTCACTGATTGGTTGTGAAATTTGTACCTCTCAAAACCAGAGAAACAATAAGGGGCTCATACCCATATAAATCTACTGTCTTAGATCGAACCTGATCAGAATCCCGAATCGACGTCCAAATCTACTTTGCCTATATCCTCTCGAGAGCAAACAATCATTTAAGTGTATTTGTACTCGTATGCAAAGTGAGTAATGAGGTAGAGCTTACAATCAGAGACCAATAACCTTGCAAAGGTCATGAAAAGACTTATAAATAAGTTTATCCGTTTCAGCTATCAAAAGACAGATTTGGAGAGAGATACAATACCCCTCCGATACCTTGATTCTTCATGAGGACTTTAGTAAGATATACTAGTGGACCGACTGAAATTTCTGCTTTTAGTGCTAGAAAATACAGAATGTCAGTGCTGAGTGATGGTTACTATTTACCCACTTTCGTATGACTTCGGTTTTAAACTCTCCATCACAGGGAGAATTTTAGTTACCATTCTATGCGATATCCCAAGTTTCTCCTTCAAACGGCATTCTGCACCCAACGTAGCATATTGTCTTGGGTTTTCTCCTCAAAACATTGGGTGCGCTGTATCTCAAATTGCTCAAAACCGCCCTTGGTGTCCACCCAAGACTTCATCTGGATGAAAGTTCTTCCATAATATCTTCTTACACTTAGAAGAAACCTCACTTTTACAACGTATCCGGAAAATGACAGTTGAAAACGTTGTCGGACTAAATAATGAACCCTACCCACTTCAATTCGGACCATTGGACTAGCAACCAGTTTATAGCAGAAACGCGGCGTGAATATAAGCATAACGTTTCATAACTCTCATGATCCCACCCTAATGGATTACTGGTATGATATGTTAGCAATATACATATGGGTTCCCGTCTGTTTAAGACAAAACGCAAAAGAGCTCCTGCAGAAACTCGTACAAACATTTGTTCTGGATCAGCAAGTTGTGAAATTCCCTATGTTAAGTGATGGTTATGGCACATTCTTCCGAACCTTTTATAAGAAGGATGACGCTCGCTCTGACAATGTAGTTACTAGAAATGGTTACACTCAGCGTTACTCCTCAACAAATTCCACTATTACCCAGTTTGTTTTCGCCCCTCCAATTCACAGGGAGCATAAGTAGAACCATACCCTCTCGTAACCAACAGGGCCCTTATACTCAAGTTCATGTCGCAATGAGTAGGCAGCTATCTAGCCTGAAGATTGAGTTACTTCTCTGGGACAGAAGGATAATCTTTGTTTTGACTCCTAAGTAACTTGGAATGGTCAAATGTTAGCAGACAAAAATTTGAGTGGAAAGGAAAACAGAATAATCTCTGGCAAACTACGTGGCAAGACTGTATTTATGATATTCATTTCCGCAATCTTTAATCACTATGGCTACGTTATTGCCTTGCTATGGAGTCGAAAAAATTTACACCACTGCCTCTGTCACATTTTTTAAAAGCCTGGTAACCAATCTTTACTTCAGTTAGTGTTATTATAAATTCCTACTTTCCCAGTTAATGTCAAACAACTATAAATATGGTTTACTGTGGTGGGGTCATTGTTTATATTATGAAGAACCTGATAACAGACTGAGCACTATTCTTGTGTGTTTGACTTGTTCCTGATCAGTGGTAGCAGAGATAGGAGATAATATCGACCATATACCCCAAGAGACATTTAACTTACTTCCGTATGACTGTAACCACTCGTAGAGGAACATAGGTCGCACACCAGCACTCTCCGTCTAACTCTGTCCTGAGCTATCGTTTCCAGTTGTTTCCAGTTGCTACTCATCCTTATCATGTCTCCTTCCCATTCTCGAAGCAGTATGTTGTTTGATCTTCCTCTTTTCTGTTTTCCTTAGGATTCCAAATTAGCGCTTGTCTTGTGTTGCAGCCTGGCGATTTTCGTGATGTATGTTCTATCAACTTCCAACGTCTTTCCCTAATTTCCTCTTCAGTCGGAAGCTCGTTTGTTCTCTCCCACAGAAAGCTGATGTTGATGGTGTCAAGTCAACGCACACTGAGTATCTTGCGTAGACAACTATTTATGAATACCTGTAATTTTTGGTCATGATTGTGGTATTTCTCTAAGTTTCAGCTCCTCAACGTAAAAATGTCTTGACGTTCGTATTTTAGACTGTGACTACGATATTGGTTGACAGTTGTTTTGAATTGTATAGGTTCTTCAACTGTGGGGATGCTGCCCTAACCTTGACAATCCGTGCCTTCATATCTGCATCACATCCTCCGTGTTCATCGATGATGCTGTCAAAGTATGTGAAAGATTCCCTTGTAAAGTATGTTCGATAGTGTGATGCCTCAATATTTCTCACATTTTCTCAGATCTCGTTTCTTAGGTACGTCGCTGAGGTGTCCTTCTTTCCAGTCTTCCTGTTGCAATTGTTCTTCCTCCCACATTTTCCTGT